TCTCTCTCTCTCTCTCTCCTTCTAATGGCTTTTTATTCATATTCTCTCTCTCTCTCTCTCTCTCTCTCTCTCTCTCTCTCTCTCTCTCTGAGTGTGAACATAGGATGTGTTGACTTGATTTTCATAAACACTGTGTTGGTAGTGCACATCATGACAGTTTCCAGGGAGGATGAACTAGAGATGGCTGGATTGATGACGCTGAGGAAGCCACTTTCCCTCTGACCTGCTTAGAGAATCACAGGTCCAGAGTGTGTGTGGTGGGAGGAGCCGAGAGGAGCACTTACTCATTTTTGCATTTGTTAGTGAAAGATGTATTCTTTCCATGGATGCTGGAACTAGAATGCACTTGTTAGATGCTAAAGGTTTGAGCTTTATACAGAAAGTTTCATCTGTATTCATTACTGTCTACAATATATTTACATTTGGGGGCAGCATAGTAAGATATAATTGCCTATTATGTCTTGAAGTGCTTGTTTTGCCTCTTGGGGGCATACTGCATTCTGTGGGTCAGTTTGGACATTTCCACCTTGTTTGATAGTGATAAGTTGACCGAGAGTGTAGATTTACAAATATAACTTTCAAAAGAAAAATATTCTGAGTCTATAGAGAATAAATGTTCACACCAAAATATACTGATACTTTTGTTAAGCAAGGTTTTATGTTTTAAATGCTTTGTGTCCAGAATAATTTCCAAGAACATATATTCCTTAAAATGCATAAAACTAGTCTGTTTTCATAATGTAGATTATTTTTTAAAAATTCTGTAATAAATATATGTAATGTTTTGCTATAATGTAATTTCAGTGTTCTTGCTGATAAATACATCTTAGGAGTGTTTTACAAAATATTTGGAATATGTTTCCTATTCTAAAGATGAGAAGATTGGACGCACTCAAATTCTTGTAAATCTTTGAAGCACACTTTACAGTATTGGTGGTAATTATTTATGCTTTGAGAATTTAAATAATGTTCATTGAAATTAATTTATGGCATAGTATAAATTGAAACTGTAAAAGTAAATTGTTGATTGCAACTTTAATAATCCCAGAACACAGGCAGAAGAACATCTCTGAGAAATTTGTTTTTGTTTGTACTTTGATTTGGTGACAACTAGGGAAGCTTGTTTTGTATTAGCACTTTGAAACCTAAAGACATAATTAAATTGGGTAGAATGCACTTCTAAATCTTTAAATTATAGTTGAACTCTCTTAAGATTCCATTTTCCAATAATGACATTCATGGTTTAGAGTTTTACTTTTTCACTGTTTTAGACTACAGAACTCATTTCCATCATGACTTTTAAGTTTGGTGGTTATGTCATAGGACAAAATCAACCCAGGCAAGACAATTACAGGAGATGGTCAGTCACAGTATCCAGTACAGGTGTTGCAGAGAATTCAGAGGACATAAGCAAGTGTCCTCTGACCGTAAGCAGTATTTTAAGATGTTCACTTTGTTCCTTTTGGTTACATAAATCCTAAAAACTGGTATGTTGATGTAGAGTCTAAAATAGAGTAGTCTTTATTCACAGTACCTGATATTGTGTAATGCACTGGACTAACTCTTGTTTTCCATTCGTGTCACAAAACCCAGCACACTGCACTAAGCTCAAGAATGTCACATCCACCTAGGCAGCTCTTCGATAAGGGTGATGAAAAGCTGAATTTACACCATATAGACTGGTGGTAACAAGGGCTTTTACTGTTCTTTTCAGTGGAATCTTGGTCAAATTGTAACTAGCTAGTATTATATTTATATACAGGGTCTTTTTTCCTTACCGATGTATTTTCCTACTCATAGCCAAACAATAAATTCAATATCTGTTTCAAATATTTTAAAAGTGTAATTTGTACAGCTGTAGCACTGAGACTTCAAAGCAGGTATTAACCAGGAGACCACACATTACAGTTCAGAGTCCTCTGGGGCAGGGGAGGAATGAGTAGGGACAGGGCATGGTGCAGCACAGCGGTGTGGACACCTTTCCTCACTGGCTGTGTAGTGCTTATCTTTGCCAAAGTTCAGTTTCCTATCTAGGTTGTAAATGGTCCTTTGGCATTTAAGGTTCTTGTTGTTACCATATACCTCATGATATAAAAACGGGCTCGTGTTATGGAAGGACGTTGACATATATTTTAAATAAATGCTTTTAAATACAGTAGCAGACATTGTGTTGGGGTTATGATAATTATTAAAGGTCTTATTGTTACATCTCTAAATTTCATTGCATGTATAACCTTTAAAAAGTTTGATTTCCCACATTTTCATATGTGGGCTTATAGTCTAAAACCAAAACATTGATTTCCTTTTCAGAATTTACACAGTTCTATTTCCATTCTTAGGAGGCTGAGGCAGGAGGAGATGGATTCCAGTCTTCTTTCTTCAAAAAGAGGAAGGACTACTTTTATAAACTTTATGTACATGTTGGAAAAAATGTTTAAAATCAGAAAACTGCAGAGAAAACAATCTTAGGTTCTTAGAGTAAGCACACGCCACATAAATCTGATGTCTCATATTTGCTAAAATTGATAAATATTTGCTAAATGCACTTATTGCTAAAAACAAATAAGTGTCAAAGTTAAGTATGCTTTATAAGTTCTATCTAGTGATATAGGAAGCAGTTATCTAAAATATGAGCTGAAAATATAACGTTTTCAACTTTTAGGTAGCAGTGTTAATGTATATCCCAGATTCAGATTTAAATTGATTTTAAGATAAGCTGTTAGAAATACTACAGAGGCTTTCTTTAGAGATCCTGTGATCTGCCTCTGACTTCCTCTGGAGTGACGGGGTTAAAGGTGTTCTCTAACACTCCAAGTTTAACCTAACACATATTAGAGAATATGTGTTGCAAAAGACAGTTCTTACTAGAGGATTGTGGGTTTTTTGTTTGGTTGAACATTTGTCCCAAATCAGGTTCTGAGTTTTCTGAATGAGTATAACCTGTGGGTCTGTCTGTACCTAGGAAATGTGGAGACTGCTGGGTAATGGTGATGTCAGAACTCCGTCTCCAGGCTCTTCAGCACTTCTAATCACGTGAACGAGATGTCAGTGTTCTCGTTTTGTTTTGAGCTGCACACTTAAATCATTCTGTAATCTATCCCATAGCTATTAAATTTATTTTGGACCTGTCTGGGCAAACTGCTTTTTCTGTCAACTGTGACCTGGTGCAGACTAAAACAGCCCTTATTGCCGCTGTTCTCCAGCCTGTGGACAGAGTGAGTCTAAGCCTTTGGGCTCAGATTCAGTAAGAAGAGTAGGGAGGACTCTGTTTTACTGATAGATCTTGATGAATGATGGGGGTTAAGCCATTTTTCGTTGCATCAATGAATACTCATTCTGAATTGCAGGTGTTAAACCTAGTTTGGAAATAGATTTACAGGCACAGTCTCTGTACTTTGTTGGTCCTTATAACCTGTTGCAGTAAAAGCCACACATACACCAAGGAGCAACTGCCTATATGGCTCAAGTGGTGAATTTATGGCTATATCTTAAAGGACTGAGAACTTGTTTCCCAGAGAACAACAGAAGTTATATTAAAAACCTTTATGGACTGTCTATGGCCACAATGGATGGAGTTGGCATATGATGTGGCCCAAGCTCATGGAGTGCACTAGCAAAGTATCTAGGACATGGCATCTTTGGAAGTTTGAACATCCTATGAGTGATGTAAGGAGCCACATGAAGGTTTGAATGGGGAATAGTGTTGCCAGACTCAAATATTCTGGAAACATTGCTGTAAGCATCTCTGTGGAGGAGAGATGAAAGCAATGAGACTAGTGACTAAGTATGGTTCATTGCAAGATTATGAGTAAATGTCCACACTATGCATATACATACACAGAAAATCAAACCATCAAAGTAGAGCAGCCCTTCCATCAAAGTAGAGCAGCCCTTTGAAGATTGAAGCAATCCAAGAATTTTAAATGCACTTTCTTCTGCAAGGGATTAGCTCTTGGCCTTAGTCACCCATGTCTTTGAAGTTCCTGAAACTTTATTCTGCACCTGAAATCTGACTCTGATAGGCACCATGAAGTATGTTTCTTTATTTATGAAGCTTGGCTTTTTAATTAAAAATTTATGCTGGGCAGTGGTGGTGCACACCTTTAATCCCAGCATTTGGGAAGTAGAGGTTGGTGGATCTCTCTGAGGCCAGTTTGGTCTACAGAACAAGTTCTAGGACAGCAAGGGCTGTTAGTGTTAGAGAAACCCTGTCTCGAAAAACCAGAATTAAAAATTAAAGGTAGGTGTGTGTGTGTGTGTGTGTGTGTGGGTGGGTGGTGGTGGTGGTGGTGGTGGTTACTGACAAAGAAGCAAGTGCTCCTGAACTGCTTGGCTATCTCTGGCCTGTTGGGTCATCTTTATGGGACTCCTTGCATTGTGCAAAGTAGGGAACTGCCATGTTGGTCTATATTACACACAAACATCCCATTAGTCAGTCTTAAATTGAATTCTAGGTATGTATTGCAACTAGCCAAAGCACTGTAAAGTTGATTTGAGTATTTTGTACAGGAGGCACTGGAAATATCTAGTAAAGGAAAGTATAAAGTATAGTAGTATCTATGTATATTTGTATTAAGAAGTCTTTTGATTTATAAGTGTGGGCAAGTTAGAATCGGTTCTAATATAGAACTTGGGTATACAGAGCTAATAATTACAGCAGGAATAGTGAAA